AATGTATAATCACTGTTGTCCCTTCAAAATGATTTTTACAAAATTAATTAATATCTAAACCAAAAATAATATCCCTTAAAACTTTAAAAACTCTTAAACTGGTTAAATTTAACAATTAAATGAATCAATTAAGAAATTACCCAAAATTTATATTAGAAGATTGAAGAAAAAAAAAGGATTATAAATTATTTTACGCCTCCATAAATAATAGTGGTAAAATACTTTCCTTTTTCAACTCCATTAATGTATTAACCCCTTTTAATATACGATTAATTGGATAAGAAATCTATAGAACTAACTAAAAATATTCAAATAAGTAAATCAATGATATTTATTATTGGTTTCACATAGAATAAGTATTTATATGATGACAAAATTAAAATTTGTAATTTTTCAATAACTTTAATAATTAAGGGTTATATATATTTTATAATCCCTTATTAACAGAAATTTAATTTTATAAACATGATTTTACCATCTTAACCACATCATGAAAAATGATAGTTATAAAAAGTATTATTCTATTTGATCATGATTATCTTTATCTGTTTAATCTAAAGTAGATTGCTTTGCCATTTAGAAAATTAATAAATGGTATCAGGAGATAAACAGACATACAAGATTCCATTAGTATTACCATCTAATTAGGCTTTTTATTATCATATTTTGAAATCCCATAGACGAATAGAATTATCCCCACTACCAGAATCTAATGTATTTCCGTCATGTGAGAAACAGACTGTGTAAGCAAAACTAGTAAATTCTTAAGTTGTTCCATTTACAATTAAACAATAATGCTCCATTAAGATTTGTTCCACTTATGTTGTCAGTATTAAATTAAGATTCACTAAAATTACACCTAACAAAATTACCTCCTACGAAAGAAACATTTATATCTTAATGTTTTCAAAATTGTTATTACTAAGTTCGACCTTCATCCTAAACTAAACTAAGGTATGTAGTGAATTAGATCCACATTATATCAAAGTGTTATCCATAGATGTAAGGTAAACTAAAAATTACAGAAATTCTATGATCCTTCTCTTATCCTGGATTCTATTAATGAGATCTTTTATCTATTCTTAATTTTCTTCACTAGAATAATCTAACTTATTGAAACTCCAACTGTTTTTGATTTTTATTATAAGAAAGATATCTCTATAACTTTCTCCTTTCTAAATATTTCGACTATGACACAAAAGAGTTTTGTATCTACATCTTATACTAAATCAAAGATGTCAACTAGAACTTCCTTCTCTTAAAAGAGCGATGCATATTCTTTATTATTTTTAATAATGAATTTCTATCATTCTAACTTTAAGTTTTATACTGCAAAATCAATAAAAGTATCTTGTGCATTTCTTGAAAATAGATGTTCAGAATTTGTGCAGGTTTGAAATTGACAATAATAGTAGCAAACTATGCTATTGAGATATCATTTCAACAATTATATTGCTTGATTTTTTAATAATATGTAATAAGTAATTTTGATTTGAATAAATTAAATTATAAATAATTTGATTTCTATTATTGTAATATGAATAGGATTTATAGTTTCTGCAAGAATTGATATTCTTTTTGGTCTAAAGATTCAATTGAAAAATGCAAAACCCCCATTTGAAAAACATTACGTTTAATTCAAGATATGCTTTTGGAATTCCAAATTCGTGTCCACAGTTTTTATCAAAAGTAAATTAGATGTGAACTTGAGGTGTTGACCAAAATGCTGAAAATGCAATCATCTATAAATTAATGTTTTTACTATTTTTTAAGTAAGTCATTCAATTTTTACTTTTATCTTATTTTTTTATCTTTTATTATTAACTAATATAAAATGCACAAGTTTAATACCTATCTTTAACAAAAATGATAATTTAATAAATATCCAATTATAAGTCAATAGATTCCCTTAATTTTTCTTAATCAATTACTTCTCAAAATTCGGTTTAATTAGACCAATATAATGATATGAATGATATGAAATTTTATAAATTTTATCTACTTCATGAAAAAAAGTAGAAATTTGATTAATTAAGAAGAAATCAATAAATGAAAGGAATTTAGCTAAGATTAATGTATTTTATATTATAAATACTATTAATATTCAATTAATTTTGATTTCAGTGACAATATAGGTCTCACAATAACTTGATCAACCATTACTAAGATGGAATAAAGAATAGAGTCACTGTAGTAATACCAATAGATATAATGGAGAGGTATTTTTAAATTACTAATTTGTATTAATTTATACTAAGAATATTGATGAGAATATTACAGCAGGCATGATTAATTTATTCCCACAAATTATGTTTCAACTTAATTTTTCATAACCAAAAATTTTTAATAGCACTGATATCTAATTTTTACGAACAATTCAAAAAAAGCCATAAATAAAATAATTTTAAAATTAATATCGAAGACAATATATAATATAATGATAATTAAAGAATATTAATCATGAGTTCATTTAATTATTATTCAAAATTCTTCTTTAAAATAAGTAGAATGCCATTTTTTAACCTTTTTGATGTAATACACTCTAATTAGAATTTTAATAATAGAACAATAACGAGAATGTTAAAATAAATAAATAAACTAGCGATGATTAATATATGTCTAAAAAATAATTGTGTATAGTTAATATTAACAACATAAATCTTTAATAAAGATGTCAGAAAAAATACTGAAGATTAATATCAATCATTCTTCTGTTGATTCAATCAATTTATATAATATAAGTTAAATTTGCATCATGCAAAATGTATTAATTAGAAAATAAGTATTTTAGCATTTTCTTTATTTCTAAAAAAAGTTTACCGAACTTTAGTTCTCAATTACTTTTGGTCAGCAAAAAAATGATTAGATAAAATATGAATTTTATGTTGATAAAAATTGAGGTATCTTGCTTTAATTTAATTTTTTATATAAAAAATTTCTTAATGCTAAAATTATGACTTGTTTTTTCAATTTGTTATTATAATTCTCCTATTTAGAATTAGATTTTCCAAAATA